GGCACATACATATGTCTGGGAAGATCTAGTGGTTTGAGCTTGTATTTGGCCGCTACCCAGATCAGTAAAAGTTGAGATCATCACATGGGGCTGTTTCAGGGAGAATCATTTCTAGATTTGCTTCTCCCCTTGTGAAAAAACTTTAAAATATCTTTCCCAGGACCAGAGAAGTTTTTTGTAAGGGCAGGAGTCCCATCTTTTGTTTCCTACCTGCTTCATTCTGCAGTGCTTATCAGTTTATCTGCTAATGGCAGATGCAGAGACTGTTCTCACAACCACGTCAGACTCTTTCCCATGCTGTCTTCCTTCTGCTGTGCTCTTCCTGAACTGTACCATGAGTTTCCTATTGTTCGGATGGACCTCCTATAGCCTGCTGCTGTTATTGGGCAAGTGCTCTGCTCTTCCTTTCATGCAATCCCACTGAAAGCTCATCAGGAAGACTCCCACAACCAAGTCCATTGCCTTCACAGTACAGAAGGAAATGCCAGGTTCCTGAGATGATGTGTTTAGTGTGTTGAGGGGAGGAGGTTATAAAACCATTTAGAGCAGACTGAGAGATGCTTTAAATTATGCCTGAGCAGCAAAGGCCCAAGCTTTGGGAGCAATCTCCTTCCAAATTTTGAGTTTCTTGCAGGTACCCTCTGGCCTTTGAGCAGGGTGGTGGAGTGGTTGCAATGTTCCCACAACACCATGAGGGTTCCCTGTTTCATCCTTTCAAAAGATAATCCATCAGGCTGCTATCTGGTTCTCATCACGCTCAGCACCCAGAGTGCCTTGCTGACTCAGTGTCCACACTGGTTCTGCTTTGGTGTTGCATTTACTCCTATCTTTGAGTGCTGGGCAGGAAAGTCGTGGGATTGCTCACTGTACTCAACTTCACTCATGTTTGATGGTCTTGAGTTGGGGCCTGGCATCACTGCCTTCAGAACTTCATTGTAAAAGAAAGTGTGATATGTAAATTATCCCGACACCTTCACCAAAAAATTGAAACTTTGAAATGTTTAATTTGGCATTCCTATCTTCAGAATGATGGAAAATGGTTTTCTTTTTTATTCATAAACATCACTAAAGAGAAAAGTCTCTGTTCTTGGCAGAGGTTTGTGAGCCAACTCTAAGGGCAAAATGCTGCTTTTTGAGTAGGGGATTCTAATGGAAAAGCTGAGCATCAAATTCACACAAGGTTCTTCTTAATTATAGAAGCCAAAAGCTCTTCCAGATGTCTGTCAGCCCAGCTTGCTAGATGCTGCCATCGCTGGTTTTAATAAAAGCTCATATTCAGCAAATTTACTACTGATTTACTGTATATTACTTAAGCCAGAAAACGTTTTTGCTCTAAAAAGCAAACAAAGACCTGATATTTTCATCAGTTGTGCTCCAGCATGTCATTTATTACGCTAAATCCTATCCAGGATCCATTATTTTACTAAAGATTTTCAGTTGATTGCCATCATTAAAACCGGAATTTCGGGAACTCCTGTGTAGAAGTACGTAAGCAAGAAATACATATCAACAAATCGGTAAATGGTGCATGCAAAACAGGCAGAGCCACTAACAGAGCAAACACGTACATGACATGCACAGCCAGACAGGATTTTTTGTGGAGAGCTACCCGTTTGTACATGCAGCTAATGTGTGCTCTAAAGAAAAATGGAAGCTGAGAGGGGAGGGGGAAAAAGAAAGAAAGAAAGAAAAGGAAAATGTTCAAAAAACAAATGAGCCTTTGCATTCAAAAGTGAACAGAACAAAAACAGGAGAGTAGCTAATGAAATCTCTGAACAATGATGTAATTAAAGTGCATTAATCATTATAAAATATCATTTCCCTTTAAACATCTGCTTCCATTCACTTGGCAACAGTCTGGTCAGTGTCATGAATGATGGGGTTTGAGATTGTGCTGAAGGGCACGTGTTATCTGAGAAACAATGTAGAACATCCCTAGCTTGACAGGATCTGGGATGGCAGTGCTTTTCCTCCTGTCAGGTAACAGTGTTAAGGAAATAAAGAAAAAATCAGACTGTTTACAGTGGAAAAGAAAACCCAGTATAAAATGTAACCCTGCTTTTTCAGCAGTGCAAGCAAAAATTTAATTTTGGTGCCAAAGGATTTGAAGAAAGTAATTTCCCTGTGAAAACGAAGTTTTAGGAACTGCTGCTTGGAGGAGAGACCTCATTCCTGCCTCTAGAGAAATGAGGACCACCACATCCTTCCTGACTCCTTTCTCTCTTGCAGCCTGGCTGTGCAGTCAAAAGAGAGAGATTAGCCATTTTAGGAGAAAATCTCCTTTTCCTCTGGCATAGGCAAAGTGTGCAGAAGGGCTGCAGCCATTTCTTATTGCCTGACAGCCTGGCTTGAGGCTGCCTGCAAAGCAGACTCACATGTGCCTCGGTGAAGTCCCTGCCTGCACTTGTTCCACTGCTGTTAGGACTGAGTAGAATTTCTGATGGGCTGTGTTTTGTTTAGGATTAGGTGAGGGGAATCCTGAATTCCTGCTTTAGCTCTGCTTTTAGGCTGTCTCTTAGGATGGTATTTTTAAAGCTGGGGACTATTATTGTGTCCTTGTACAAATCTAAAGCCTCATTGCATTTTCATACATTTGGTAACATGGACAGTGGTTGCAGGTATCCCCTTTTCACCTGCATTCATACTTCTGTCTTGCTTAATCTTAGTGTCTGTGTCTGTCGAACTTACAGGACATATCTGAAGGTGAAGCACTTTGAAGTCCTCTAGCAACAAAGATCCAGCTATAAAGCACCACTGTTTTTAAGCTAATTTTAGTTTTTTAGCAGATCTGTACAGGACAGCAATTAGGGAGTAGAGATCCTGAGTACTGCATTCCTACCCAGCTTCATTCACCACTGACTTCAGATCTCCTTCATGGCATGTAATCAGGCAGTCCTGAACAACCTCTGGATTTGATGCTGCATCAATGGCAAAAATGCATATGCCCACATGGGTTTCTAAGGGAGGTAGACAGAGAGAGTCCAGACTCTGTTTGGAGAAAGGAGGAATGGGGCTGTGCACGTTGTTCAAGGCTATGCCACTGTGTACTCCTTTTCTGGCAATTCTACAAATTCCCAAAAGATGGATGTGTGTTTTCCCAGGCAGTGTCTTCCCAGCTATTAAGTGGAAAAGTGAAAATGAATTCAGCTTTGGTCCTTGCTGTTCAGTTACAGATGAAACATTTCACCTGATTTGCGTCTATTAATAACAATACTTACCCTTCCTCACAGAAACCTGTAGTCTTTTAAAAAGTGATTGGAGAAATTCAAATAAAATTATGCAATTTGTTCTCTGTTTCTCAAAGCTGGTAGTCATACATGGGTATTTAAACAGAAAAATCAAGACAAATGTCCTTGCTTCTCACAGAGCTGCCTAGATCAGTACTGCGAAAGCCTGTCAGGAATTCAGATTTCTATGCTGCTGTCCTTAATGCAATGACACCTTATGTGTGCTATGCAGTATATGCTGTGTGCTGCTTCTGGGCTGTTGCTGTGCCTCCTGCTGCCTTTAGGGACCAGCTCAGCGATGTCCCTGCCTGAGAACCGGGTGTGCAGCTCCTTGTGCAGGTGGCGTGTCCAGCACTGACAGAAAGGGCAACCTGTGCAGGCTGCTGCCAGGCACCTCACATTTGCTCACCTCCATATCCCCTTTCTCCCATTTACCCCCCCTACTCTAACAGCACAGTTCTGCTTCTGGGGACCTGTTTGATGCGGCTCTGAAATGTGAAAAGAACATTGCACTTTTGAGACCTTTTCTTTTTGTCATTTTTAAGGACTTGACCAAAAAGCTGTGCTGGTATTCTGGTGTAGTCTTAGAAAATTCAGATAAATTTCTGTGGCATAGTGTGTGGGGTTGTTTGCTTTTGTTTGTTTTTTAGAAAAAAGAAAGAAAACTGGCAACCTTAGCTTTAGATTTTCTTTGGTTGGTGGTTCTTTATAGTTTTAGCTGCAGCCACTGGCTGCTTAGGGAACAGGGGCAGAACAGTGTGGGAGTAAATATGCTTAGGAATGCTGTCTTGCTTAAACGCTGTCTTCAGGTATCTGACAGAGCTCACAGTTTCCTTACTGTGCTCACGTAGATGTCTTTACCCAATCTTGCAAACATATGCATACACATCTTAATGACTTGTTTTGGTGCCCATCTAAAACATTAAAAACTTAAAGGGGAGCAAGCAGCTCTATTTTTAGCAGGTTCCTTTGAAGTCCCTTTCTGAAAAGCCACGCAGGTGGAGTTGGGCATGTATACTGAAAGTTGAGATATTTGTACGAATAGGCATATTCATGTTGTGTGTAAGATCTGAAATAATAATTTATTCACTCTTTTTTTTTGAACTGTTTGTGTGATGTGTAGTTTGTAGGCCTTCATTGCGTAAACACAAATAATGTCTTCCTCTGGTGACTCAAATCCTATATGACACAGGCTGGTCACTCGAAATTTTCAGTTCAGTAAGTTGTGGTTATTTATGTGAAAGGGACTGCCTTGTATCACTTCCATCTGATGGTCCAGACTTTGTAGCTGGGATTGGTTCTCCAGGACATATCCAGTAGGTACCAGGATTAGCCCAAACACTTGAATCTCTCCTGTCACCAGTACAAACCTTCTTACTATTTTGTAAGAATACACAGTGCTGCTTACTGCCCTCAGCTTCATTTTCAGCTCTTAGTAGTCTGTTCTGGAGGCTCATTGGACACTGGTGTGTAAATCCTTGTGCTGGTAGCATGGAAGAGATAAGGAAATTTAAATTTTGGGTGACAAAATCCAGGAAGAAAGGGAAAGCATTAATCAGAGGGGTGTAATCTCCAAGGAAACAAGTACCTCATTTCAATTCAGCATTTACCTTTGATGAAAACTTTAGTGAATGTTATTATGTGGAATTTATATGAAGCCTGGGTTTAGGTAACCAACTTTAATATTTATACTCTTAGGGAAAAAAAAACTGAATCATTAGTAAGCATGCATAATTAATGAATAAATTATATTTTTCCTTTGTTTTCCTTCAGGTATAAGGAAATGCTAGATCTAGTGATATCACCCAGCCTGACTGTAAATAGAGAGTGCCCTGACAGACTGAAGCTTAACCTTGCTAACATTTATGCCACGGCTCCAGATGACATAGAAGGTAGGCTACTTCCTTTGTTTATTGCTTATTTGCTTTGGCATAATGTATATGTATATAAAATAAGGTGGCCACACACAGGGCCTCTGCTTCTAATGGTTAGTTCTATTGCATAGTGAGTAATTGGGGTTTTTGTTTGAGAATATTTGTAGTCACTCCAGTTGTGACTGAACCCTTCAAAAATAATTTGAATGCAAACAGAGTTGAAATGTTTTGCATAAACAGAGATCTGTGTATTGTATATGCACACACATGTATATCTGTTCACTGGAATAAGTGCAAGTACAAAACGTGCTTTGTGTAGGGCTGGTATTTTTGGTTTAGACCCTACTAGAGCTCCAGCCCCAGGGGTGGCTATACTGCTGCTGGTGGAGCGTGGCTCACAGGGGCTCCCAGGCCCAACAGTACACTGTGTAGCCAAAAAATATTTTGCCAGAGCAGTCCTGTGCCCCAGTTTATATCACTCTGAGATCATTGCTATTATCTCCAAATGGTTTGTCCTGCTGATGTCTGGTCTGAAGTTTCACATTTGGCAGGTACCAAGGATAAATTCTTTCAATGGTTGAGGCTCTGATGGAAATCTCTCTGTTCTTCTCCTCCTCTTCCTCCTCTTCTTTTTCCCCATCAAACTGTTCAAGTGAAGGAAACAGAAGAATGTTAAATCTGCTAAAAAAATTATTGGCAAGTGATGCAGCTGAACTAGTTCTTGCTAGTACAATCCCAGCTATTGTTTGCTGCGGTCAGAATCTGTCAGCCTTCCTGTTGGAGGGGAGTTAGCAAAAGGCACTGACTATTATGTAGTGGTAGTATGTTTAACCCTTCATTTATAGACTCTTAAAAGCCAAGGAGAAGTTTTGCTTGAGTGTATGCTAAGGCATTAGAAATTGCGTGATTAAAACACAAACATCAGGATTGCCTACTTACAGGAGCAATCAAAGGGATAAGAATCTAAAGGAAACATCCTTTTAAACATATGTGTTTGCAGAAAAGATTAGTGCTAGAAATGATTTTAAAATACATCATTTTGTAAACACCTTGGTGCAGGAACTGTTGGTTACTACACAATATAAATATGAGCCAACAGAGCACCTGTACCACAAAACGCCAATATGCCAGTGACAGCTCTTGTTAATAAGTTTCTTACAGAAATATTACCTTTGTTTTTTTTTTTTTTTACAGGTTGATCCCTTGTTATACCATAATTATGTTCCTTTAATTGAAAATACTTCTTGTTAATTTGGTGAACAGGAAAATACTTGCATTTTTTCAACCTATACTGCCTGAGCTTTTAGTGCAATGAATGCAGATGAATGTATGCTCCATATTACACATAGTTCTAATTTTAGCAACTCTAGTTGCAGTATTAGATGTCTACTTCATCGTGTCAAGGGTTCTTATCATGAAATCTGCAACTATATCAGTATAATTTTCAAATACATATTCTGCCTGTAGCTCTACACATTTGGGTAGGAGCAAATAGTTTTAACCTGTACTTTTACAATGAGAGTGTAGCATACTGCATACTCATACACAGTGGATCCTGTTTGCTATTTACTCTGTATTTACCAGTTTCAAAACTAAAAGAAAAAATGAAATATAGTATTTTTCAAATAGAAAAGCCATTAAACTTGTGCTCAAACTGCCCATTCTGCTGTTTTTCAAATATGGAAGACATTATGAATGAAATGAATTAAAATGTTAATACATATATGTATTTTTCTAATGCAATTCTATTGAGTAGTAAGGGACAGATTGGTAGAAATTGTATAATTTTTGTTTTAACAACCTAAAAGTCTAATTGCCTAAACGATTTTCTTTCAGGTAAGTCAAAACAATCTTTTCATTGCGAGTATCAAGGTGAGTCAGGTAAGCTTGTCTTTGGGTTTAAAAGCAGTCTTTTTTTCTATACCTGCTGTTCTTATACCTGTATATGTGTATGTATATGAACTTAGATGTGCATTTATATAACAGTCCTTTACTCTGCTTTACTTTGATATATATATATATATTTTAAATAAAATATCTCTGCCTCTTGCTGTGGAAATAGGTTTGTATTAGCCACATTCTAGAGGAACAAGGGCAGGGGTGCTGCTGGGTTTTAGTTTTGTCAGGTTTTTCTGCAATGTAAGAGCATAGAGAATTCACAGAATCACAGAGTCATAGGGGTTGGAAGGGACCTCCAGAGATCATCCAGTCCAACCCCCTGCCAAAGCAGGTTCCCTACACCAGGTCACACTGGTGTCCACGCTGGTTTTAAATATCTCCAGAGAAGGAGAGTCCACAACCTCCCTGGGCAGCCTGTTCCAGCGCTCCATCACCCTCACCATAAAGAAGTTCTTGCGCACATTTGTGCAGAACTTCCTATGCTGAAGTTTCTGGCTGTTTCCCCTTGTCCTGTCTCCACATACCACTGAAAACAGTCTGGCCTTGCCACTCTGCCCCCCACACCTTAGATATTTATAGACCTGGATCAGGTCCCCTTCAGTCTTCTTTTCTCAAGGCTAAACAGACCCAGTTCACTCAGCCTTTCTTCATAGGGGAGATGCTCCAGGCCCTTCACCAGCTTTGTGGCCCTCCGCTGGACTCTTTCCAAGAGATCCCTGTCTTTTTTGTACTGAATGGTTTTGGTCTTAATGGTTTTGTTCCAGTCAGTGTCCACAGAGTGGGGTTGGGTGATAGGGTTCACAGTTCTTGCCCTTGCAGCTGATGTGCTGTCCTCCTGCCTGAGCTTCCTCTGTGAATGGATTGGTGTGCAAAGCAGGTAGTGCAGATGGCCCTGGAAGAAGACCCAAGGGGACTGTAAATGTGATCTTTATCATTCTGTAGGGTTTTGGAGATGTAATCAACCTAAGGGAGAGCTCTTGCAGAAACTGGAGGACAGCTTGGGAGAAGTGGGATCAGAAAAGTCAGGCTTGAATTTGTTGTGCAGATGGGTACAATAAGAAGGGTACGGCACAGAATAGTACTTCGGGGAAGTGAGAGACAAGAGTGGGTGATAAAAGTGTATTTTATCATTGTGGTTGTATTGGGATGAGTTTTTGTTTTTAATACCCATCAAGGAGAAGAGGGTAAAGCAGGCATCCAGCACGGTGCTAGGAAAGAAATTACAGTTCTGCACATAGGCTTGTGAGCACATGAGGTCTGTTTGCAGCACAGATAGATGTACTCAAGTTACATTTTTCCCTTAGCAGCAGCAGTGTGTAGTCATTCCCAGCTCACTCTGAAATGTATTCCCCTGGTCATCAGTGCCTTTATTGCCAAAGCCATTTTTCCTAAAGTAACTCAGTGCTGCAGTAACATTTCTGATCTGTTCTAACCTAAAGTGTAGTTATTAAACACTACAGTTATCCCAGAAAAGAGAGAAAGGAATACATGGATATTTCTTAAATTTTGTTAATTATCTCTGAAGATGGCTAGGTTCGTGAAAAAAGGGTGTCCTTTTTGAAGGAAGTGTGTGTTCTAGGTATTTTAATGTTTTAAGGAAGTACAATTGTTTCTTATAAAATGCAGCTCTTTTTTCACTATTATTATTAGATATAGGAGACATTATACAAATTAACATTCTAAAAAAAATTAATATATTGTAATTCATTTGTTGTTGTTGCTTTTAAGACTTGTGTACCTCCATTGGGGTTTTTCCATTTATTTGCTCCCAAAAGTCAGCAAGAATGAAAACAGACTTTTAATACAATTTACTTTTTAAAAAGATACATCAGATTGAATACCTCTCTTAAAAAATATATTAGTGGTATTGTGTTATGATGTAGAATGATAAAGCCATGTAAAATATTATGAAAAAAGAGTTGTTGAAGAAAGAACATTTGTAAAAGAGTGTTAAACCGGGAAGAATGAATATTTCATATTCAAGCACGTCAGATCATTTTGAAAATTCTCTGCAGATTTATGGCATAACAAGTTACTCAAACCCATAGGATTATTTGCATTTATTTAGACCTTATGTATATTTGCATATTTCATTAAATAAACCACACTTTAAATGTTTAATTTGGCAACTTACAAACTGCTGAACAAATGAAGTGATTCTGTTTTGAAAACTTTGAACTGAAGATAACGCATCTGTAGCATGGTGGGTATGGCCATGACAATGCATGGGACAGCATTGTGGATGTTTCCTGCCTGGTGATGGCAATGTGCAGCACTGGGGATTCTGCAGGACTCTACCTTTCCACTCAGCCTGTGCTCCCATGGTGGAGAGATCTGCCTAACGTTGGGTATTATTTCCTATTGCATGTAACAAATTGCATGATAAATGCCAGCAGCTAATGTGGAGGGTGGTGGTGCTACAATCAGCAGAGAACGTGATGGGTGATGTTCTTCTCCCTGGAGAAACTGCATGCAATTAGTCTGATGTGCTGATTGATACAGACAGCAGATAGAGAGGCTGAAGGTGTAGTGCCTAATATCACTATTAATAATTGTGAAGGTGTGTTGGCATTTATACTGCTGTAATAACACTGACTCCAACCAGGGTCAGAGAATCACAAATTGAATGGCATAATGACGGCATGTATAATATTTATGGTGGCATTTAAATACAGTATTTTCAGTACAATTTGCAGGCAGCTTACAAGTTTTAATTTAGATTATTTTAATGAAGTTAAGCGTAAATATGTCTCCAGATAAAAATGGGGGCACTTTTTTCTTTGCTGGTGTTGCAAGACACAACTGTTTGACACGTTGGCAAGCATCTTGCACATCTTACTTGTTTGATGTACTTTCTACTGGTTTCATTTACTGTTTTTGATTATTGCCAAGTCAGTAAGGTAGGTTATAGTTAATGCAAAAAATCAGGACTGATAATTAAAAGTGATAAACTTCTTATATTTTCTTTGTCTTTGAATGTTTTAGCATTTTATTATTTTAAAGAAAGTGAGTCACGGTTTAGGGCAGTGTCAAAAAAAGTCAAATCAATTTAGTTATCACTGTAGTTGCCTTTATTGCTTTTAATGTATGATTCTTCCTACTAAAGCCCAACTTCGTGATTGAGATCAGTCATATGATAAGAAGAAAATAGTAACTCAGTGAATCAGTAGTACCATCAGCTAAATAAAATTGTATTTATTTCTTGTTAAGTAGATAATAGTTTTATCTGCTTCATCTTTTTGGAGATTCACTCCAAACAGTATCTCCTAATTACTGTGTGTTTTTCTCAAACCAGCAATTGTAAAAACAGTGGTATCATCTTGGCTGTAGAAACGAACATGATGAAACTTTAAGACCCTTTAATTTTGTTTTCCAGGCAACAGCAAAGCAGCACCACAGTGTCCTCTCCATCTGTACTCAACAAAGTGAGTGTTCCTGCCAAGTGCTGTCATTTTAAAAACATATTTTGCTAAACAGACATTTTGTGTGGACTTCTGTAACCTTAAAAAGCATTTGTCTTACGCCTATCCACCTGTTCCTCTGTATGTCTCAGGCCCAGTGAAGAAATAGTCCCTAATCTTGCTAAATATGGAATGAAAGAAGTTTTGAGGTACCATGTGCTGTACATTCGTACCCTTGGGAATCCAAACATTATTACTTTGAATGTTGCTTTGTTTATTAGTGACCACAGAGGAATACATAAAAATGTCAGAGGTTTCTCATGATGTGTTGTTTGGCAAACTCAAAGTGAAACACAACAATCAGAGTATTGAATTTTTTTTAAACTTGCACGTATTTTGCACAGCCCTAAATTTCCTATGCATCTTAATAATTTAAATCAGGAGCTGTACACTAAAAGAAACTTTTGCCCCAGTCTAGTAAATTCTGAGCTCCCAAAATATTCACCATCATAGTTGAATTGTGCTTTATCAAAATATCTAGAAATGTTTTCCATGTGCTCTAGAAGACTGTGCAGTAACTATTGCCTTAGACCTTCTGTTTTCTTGTTCTCAATAGACATTATCCCCATATAGTGACAGTCCAGTCTTTCCCAACAATGGCAACATATGGACAGACTCAGTACAGTGCAGGAATCCAACAGGCTGCTGCATACACTTCCTACCCTCCTCCAGCGCAGCCCTATGCCATACCTTCCTACAGTGAGTACCCTGATGTCATGTTATCTTTGAGTGTATCTTCTTCCTTTTGCTCCTAAAAAAACTTATTTGAAGACTTAAGGTTTAGAGTGAAAAGTTATTTCTATATTGGGAGTGTTCACTTCTAAGTGTTAAAGGAAAAGCTGACTTTGTTAAAAATGGTAGGATTACTTTGAGCTGTCAGCTCCTTATATCCTGGGATATGCTCTTACAAACTACTTAAGGTTGAAGATGGTGAGTAATAGGATAGGAAACAGTATGAAAAACTCAGGTTCAGTAGGATGTTCCACTTATGAGCGAGCAGGAACTGTGACTGTTGCCATGACTCACTACAATGCAATGAATATGGTATTTAGGTAAAATTAGTTTTGCCTTCTTTGATTTCTCCTGGGTTTCAATAATAAAAGCTACTTTAGGAAAAAAATTCTGTATGCTATTACAGAAGATCTGGGACACAAAACAAAGTAGGGCATTGGTGAAAAGCTACAGAGTGCTTTGGTTTTGGAAGACTATTTGTGTTTAAATGAATGATTGTTAGCAATAAGTGCCATAGGAATTTCAAACCCTGGTTAACTTTTGTTCCCTACACCAGCCTCACAAGCAGCTGTGGAGAGATGGTGCTGTGCTGGGTGCAGCTGGAAGATTGAGGCAGAGAACTAACTAAAAACCAGCACTCCTAATAGTGGAAAGCCTGGCAAACCAAGTGTTAAATGTCTTCAAGCTATACGTGGAAATAGCATGCTGTTGAGGCAATTGGGAAGTTCTTTCCACTCCTGAAGACCAAAGGGATACTGCTCTTGCTTAGGCACAGTTCTTTAACAGAAAGTTTTGAGGCTCCTTATTCCAAGCTGATCTCATGAGTGCTGAGTATTGCAGCTTCATAGCTCTGTTTCTGCTGCTGGTTTCTCTCACACTCTTAAACACCTTCATTTGCTTGGCAAACACAGTATCCTTTCCCAACAAGATTTTATACAGCCTTTGATAACACTTTTCCTGAAGGGAAATTCAATGCAATAGTCTGGAAGGTCAGGGAAATGGTCTTGGCAGAGATGAAGGTCTACCAGGATGATGAGAGAAATGTTTTGAGACCCTTTCCTGGAGCTACTTGTGTGTTTGCATCAGCTGGCTGATTTCCAAGACAAACTCTGAACAGTTGTCCTGTTAGAGCAGGTGAAAGTAGAGCCATTTGCTACTGCCTTGAGTCTTTGGGGCATACATGTGTCAGGCCCATATGCTGCTTATAAATCCTGTGGATGACCTCTTAGCATCCTTGAGCAGTGATTTTCCTCCCCCAACCCATATACCCTCTCTAAGATACTCAGCACAGCATATGAAAAACTCCACCTGGCTGACAACCAAGAACAATGAAGCAGTATTGTTTTTAGGCTCAAAAATAAAACTCAGCCAGTTTCTAGACAAAACAGAACATTGTGTGGAAATTAATTTGGTGCTAAGTTATTTCACTGTCTGACAACAATTTTAGACTTCCAAAAAGGCCCATTCGCTGAAGATTAATTGTAGCTAGGGTAGATGGAGTGTTTGCATGCAGAGTGCTGATGTAATTGAAAATCATGGGATGTTATGAAAAGAGGCTTCTCTGCACACACTCACAAATCCCTTTACTTCCCTAGCAGTAATGGACCCGAACGCCTGCACTAACACATGTTCACTCACTGTCCAAACAAACTTCCTGCATTTCACAATACAGCATTGTCATATTGATGCTAACTTGTACACAGATTATATTGCAGCTATTCTCACCTAAAGCTTAAAGAAGTAGTTTTATTAGAGAAGATATTACCTGGGGGAAATTATTCCCAACCTGAGCAAATGCAGACTTATTGCTTCTAAGAGTCATTAAGCTAGAAAACAGCATGTTTGGTGAAAGGCATGTGAATTCATCTTGTCTTTTGGCAAGTTTGTTTGTAAGTGCTAACAGACAACAGCAGCCTGGGAAGTGTATAAATCCAAGGCCAGAATGTCAACAAGGTCTTTGTTTAGCTCTAGTGCTCTAGTACTCAGGACGTGTCCATGGCTATTTTTTGTTTTGTGCAAATAGGTATGCAAAGAAGGAGGAGAATCACACCGAAGGGTTCATAATAAGACGCACCTTTCAGCTGTTTATATTAACAATACAGCTGTAGAATCTTGGCAGCATCTCTGAATAAAATATCAGCCCCTTTTACTATCAGCAAAGGTTTCATCAAAGCTTGAATCAGCAAGTGCTGCTGCTAAACTGTCAGTTTAATTGCCTGATTTTAGTAATGAAAATATTTTGTGGCTTCAGGACTTATATCTACTGTTCCTGAACTGGAAGTTATATCTTAGTGAATAAATGATAACCCTCCTGTATGACCTGCTAATAAATACTTAATTACCAAACCTGAAAATATAATGGAAGTAAAAGATATGTCTACTGAGAACAGAAGTCTTGAGGTTCATTTGCTGCAGGTCCTGTTTCTTTGTTAATCATTGCTTGCGCCCGATAACTGTTCAGAAAAGTCTTGAGTCAATGAGTTTGTTTAACACCAAAACAAAACTGTTTTTCCATAAATAGTTTTTGAAAACAATGTTATTTGTGTTTGCTTCTGTATCTTAAGAAAAGTTCATTCAGGTGTGAATACAGAATGTGGCTCACTCAAATACTATTTGTGGTGAATGCATTTGACTTGTATTACTTGAGAGCTCTTTGAGGATAATTAAAAAAAATTGTAAAGTGTAGTTAAAATCTAGCTGAAATATTGTGAATTCCTAATCTTTCTTTTTTATAACTTTACGTGACAAAATACACATTCTGCTCTTGGTTCCTGCATTGTGCTCCTCCAAAGGCATCAAAACAGAGGACAGCTTGAGCCATTCCCCAGGACAGAGTGGGTTTCTTAGTTATGGATCCAGTTTCAGTACCCCAACTGCTGGACAAGCACCATATACCTACCAAATGCATGGTAAGTACAGCTTGCTGCTTTGCGGGATGTATCGTGAGAGGTCAGAATAACATACTTCTTATTAGATCAGTTCTTCTTTTGCAATTACAATAAAAAGATTAGTAATAGACAGACAGAGTAGGAGAGAAAGTAAGATTTTAGAGTTCTGTTGTGCTTATCAAGGAATTAATTTCTGGCAAAAGTACTAGATTTAGCACTGAGGCACCCTAGCAAAACTCTGTGTATGACCAACTTAAGCTTTGCCTTTCTGCAGAAACTGTTGTGTTTAATATATCCAGCTTTTTTAACTTATGAAGTACCAATACCGCTGATCAACAGGCTACCAGCTGAAGTAAAATTCTGAAAAGTAGAGCTGAAAGCAGCTGCTTTTTCCCTAAAGTTCCTGAGTAAAGAATTAAAAAGTTTAGAATAACTGTTTTACTATTGTCAAAATATTAATTGATTATATAATAGTGAACTGTATTTCCTTATGTCGTCAGTGACACTGCCTTCTGCGTGGAGCTTTGTAACACTTTGTTTTGTTCTACAACCAAAAAGGTCAAAATACACTTCATTCCTAAAAGTAAAACTTATTTTCAGTCATTCAATTTCAGAAGCTGTACAAAACACCAGATTCCATGATACTCAGTGTTGATTTGCCAACTCCAGGGAAGTCACGGAAGGGTTTAAAGCTGAAAAAAAGAAAACTGAGAAGTAAATTAAAATGTTGGAAATTCACTTGTAATTCCTTTTAACCCATTTTTTAGCATGGAATTAAATTTCTTTATGTTGCTTGTCACAAAGAGAGGTTTTTGTTTTCTTAAGTGTTATAACATGCTGTTTTCTCCAGCATGCCTTGTTCTTAATCTTCATGAATTATGTTTATTTATTTTTTTGTTTATTTATTTATTTATTTTTCTGGAACTTGCTGAGTCATTGGTCAAGTGAATTGGAGGGGCAGTGTTAAAATTTGTATATATTCTGTTAATCTAAACATAAAAATACCTGTCCAGGAAATTCTTCAAGCAGTGATGACCAACTCTAATGCAATGATAGCAGATGAGATGAACCATAGGATAACCATTTCAGCTTTATCAATCATTTTATACACAAAATGAATGAGTATCTTTGGAGGAAAGTATGTTCTAGAAAGTTAAACATTGTCCATCTTAGGTTCTGTTGAGTGGGAAGGGTCAATCACACAGGCTACGCTGTGCCCTTTACTGCTGTGGCTAAATGTATGCAGACTCACTAGTTTAGGAGCAGCTTGCATACAACTGCAGCAGCTCTGCTGGCAGCAGTGTGATCTCTCTGAAAGGCTGAACCACAAAAAAAACCCCACAGAGCTGTGATTTTCTACATTTTGACTTCTGCAGACTTCATCCATCCTATCTCAAATAGGACTTTGTTTTTTGCTTTCTGTTTTACTCCTCGAATGTCTCAGTCTTCTCTGGAGATTGTCTTTCATTGTCAGCAGTGGAAGTCCTCTCTCGTTGGTAAAACTGGCTTGCATCACCAGCAATGGTAGATGCTGGAGTTTGATGGCTTGTTTGCTGCTTTGTCAGTGGGCTGAAGTATTGTGTATGCACCCTCCTGTTCTGTTCTGCATCCTGAGTAACCATGGTGTGATTAGATGCTAATGATTTTTGCAACACTGTTGACTCAGCATAGGCATTTTCTTTTCCTGCCATGGAAGATCAGTGTATTCCCATCTATGTTTCTATTGCTTTGCGTTTTCCCAGAATTCAGCTCCCACATGTGCTTTGTGTTAGCTTAGAAGAATCTGAGCTATTTGGGAAGGCAAACTCTTGACTCATTTGGGACTGAATTTTTTAAGATGGCCCCTTTGTTCAATTAAGAGGTTTAGACAAACAAGTTTTGTTTAATTAGCACTTGAAAATGTTACACTTGTAAGGAATACTGACAATCGAGAATGTTGTACCAAAACAGGCCGGAAAAAACTTTATGCAGAAGTGAGCATGAGCATGAATGTGCCCAAGATGCTTTCAGGTAATATTTTCTAAGGTGATACTACTGTGTTAGATAAATTTGCTTCTTTTCATTCAGATTTTTATGCCAGACAGATCATTTCAGCCAGCTCACTAAGCTGTCAACACAAAAGGAAAACTGTTTCTGCATGTGGCAGGTGCTTACTCCAAGGCAAAAGGAGCAGAAGTAAATGTGTCTTCCTGTTGTAAACAAATATTTCTACTCTTCTCCTTGCTTATGAAGGGAAGAGTCTGAAGCTCCCTGACCATGCAGTTTATTTACCCTGTTGAGTGCTGGTGAAAGGTTTGAGTGAGAAGCTGGGAGCCTTCCTGTGCTGAGTGCTACTGAGGAATGTGCACTCTGTGCTTTCCCACGCTGCAGCACCTGGGGGCAGGGAGGCAATTCTTCCATCTCCTTAATCCAATCGAGCAACTCTCCCTGCCACCCAAGCTCCAGGACCGTTGGGACTTCTGTCAGATTCACATCAGCCTTGTTGGCCATCCCATTAATGACCCCAGGCAGGGACTTTGGCTGATGAGATTAAACAGCTGAAGGTGCAAATTTTTATTTAAATACTTTTATGAAATCAAATTTCAGGGGGACTTTAAGAGTCAAGCTCTTAACCCTCACTGCAAGGATAAAATACTTATTACACAAAACAGAGAAGAGATCTTGAAGAGTCTGACAAGTGCAATGGATCATCAAGGAAGGACATCTCCATGAGTTTCTGCTGCTTAGTTGTGCATTTTAGTATGAGAGAAAAAAATGCTTTTTTCAAGCTAGCTCTGTGAGTGTTGTAAGTTGGTAATACCTCAAGTACCTAACTGAAATAACTTTTGACTACTGTTGGCTTCTCTTGAATATCAGCTCCCAAAGCAACATAGCGAAGTTGACTGCAGGCAGGCGTGGGTGGTCAGGCCATGAATCTGGAGCTGCTTGTGCAGACTGTGCAAATCCTCACAGTCCCCTAGCTTATGAATTACATGGCCAGGAAATAGGTGTGTTATGCCAATCACCAAGGAATAATGACCTTTTGGATGACAAATATTTTGTCTCATAAGGCTCTAGGACAAATGTTCTCCTTCAGTACGTGCCCAGGTAGTTGGAGCTGTTTGGTTTGCTCTCATATTTCTTTGGAACCAACACAAGCTTTGGCTGGATATAAGTGTTAGGTTGAAGCCTCACCTCCCTGATGGCTCTTTTGGCACTTCTGAAGCCAGATTTCCTCAAGTCTGTTGATTTTATCCACAAACACAGATGATGCAGATGCAGTGGGGTAGTGTTCAGCTTTTTCATTTTTAACTGCAGTTACCAACTGTATTCTGGATCTTGAGCAAGAACAGAGTCCACTGAAAAGCAATAACGAGGATAAAACATTCTTTCAGTTACTAAGTGGTAAGGAAAAAAAAAAAAAAGCAAAACTATTTTACAGACAGCCAGAAGGGGAAATCTATTTTCATGCTTTCCTAGCATGAAAATAAATTAAATGTGGAAGAGCTTATAAGCCAAATAGCTAATGCAGTATGTCACACACATATATAATATAAAAGATGAGGTTGGCAAGTTCCATATCTGCCAGAAAAGACATGAAACTATAACACAAAGGTACTATAGATTGAAATAATGATTTTAATTTCCATGTAACACAGTGGATATGATAGTATTTTGGCAGACTGAGTAACATTCAAATAGACTGAAATGTAGTATTGCTTATCCTGAAGGACTGACTTTATTCTCTTGTTTTTAATCAGTGCTGTATACAGTCATTACTGTATTTACAAAATTAATTTGTTGTAATGAAGCTACAGTATTTGATATATGCATGTGACCAGTTCAGGGAGGCAACTCATTTTTAGAGCTGTGAATTGGAAGAGAAGGTAACAGCATGTATTACTTTGATGTAAAAAAATTGAAATACTGTGCGTTAAAAAAAGCTGCTTCAGGTCTGTGCTATTTCCTAATGGATCCTTATACAACTATGCAATTGCAGTACTGACTCCCCAAAGAACACCATAGTCTACGTATCAGAAATATATTTGCTTCATAACATATATTTTTCAACAGTCACATGTTCTTACAATTTAGCAGATTAGTGAGCTGTTCAGAGTTTTGGTAAAATTATTATTCAGTAATAAAAATAGCATACGAGACACAAAGGTTGTATTCGACCTCTGCCCCATGCAGCTTACCATCTAAACTGGCAATTGAGGAAACTGCTTCTTGTTGTGGAAAGATCTTCAGAAGCTAGTGAAACCACCCTGTTTTCTGGCTTCTCTACAAGACTTCAGTTGCAGCAAGGCAAGCAATTACATTTGTATTCTGCCAAGCGTAGTCATACCCAAATGATTCCATTCCTCAAAGAAGAGAGTAGGTCGTCTTCAACCCGAGCGTTTTCAGACTGAATCTCTGCTGTGCTTCTCTTTGTCTGCGATATCACGCCTGTTAGAGTTCATGAAGATTAGTAAAACCATCTACATTTCATGATAATAAATATAAAATTTTTCATCCATCCAAATAGGCAGTCAGAGCATTCAATGAATATTTCAATTAAAATATGTTGGTTTGGGAGGAAAAGGCTTGTTTGTTTTCTTTTGGAGTGTTTTTGTTGTTTCTTTTTACAACCTCAGAGGTATTGTTTATCTATTCACACTCCAGACATCAGATCATATTTTCCTGTGCATTTTACATATGACTTTACCTAGTTTTGCAACACTTTTTCTATTTTGCTTGGTTACTGGAGGAGTTTCTTGATACTGCAAACAGTTGCTTTGGATTTGTGCAGGCAGTAGATGCTACTTCCATTCTTGCTGGTAATTAGAATCATCCCCCATCCCCCTCCTTGCTGTTTCTCTTCTGATGTGTTGATCTTCCTGTCCCTTGGATTGTGAATGAAGAGAAAACTAGTTATAGTCCTGTGAATGTTAGCACTGATGACCTTCTGTTCACTTGGAAAAATACTTTGGACTTCACATTAGTGGAACAGAATGGAATCTGATCCTGTGTAGGAGCAAATGCACTGTCAAATGTATAAG